AAACATGTGAAATTTAAAAACCCCATATCGTTAAAGGGGTTTCCACGTGTCTTGCTGTCTATGTCAAGAGGCACGTTCCTCTGCTCCATGATGACCTTCCTGAAGTGAGTCATACTAAATACCTCTCTCTGCCACTCACTCAGTCACACACACACACACACACACACACACACACACACACACACACACACACACACACACACACACACACTTTATGCCAAACTCCTCTTTAAAAAAATCTGGAAATTAAGTGTGTCATTCGTTAGGACTTGGACTTAATGTAAATGATGACATAAGAACATACAACAGTTTATACCACACACACACACACACACACACACACACACACACACACACACACACACACACACACACACACACACACACACACACACACACACACACACACACACACACACACACAGAGAGATACAATTGTGTAACAATGGTTCCCAAACTTTCCTATGGGCCCCATTTTGATTAGGTTTGCCTTGGAGGGGGTGCTCAAACAGAAAAGAGTCTCAGCAAGGATTCAACATGCTTTAGAAATGCATGTCTTTCACAGCTATGGGCGGATTATTGACAACAATGCATGCAGTCAAACATAACCTGGGAGGTATTGTCATTGCATACATGTTCTCAGTGGGATTGTGCACCCCAGGATGTTAAATAATTAAGAAATTCAACAATTGATATTGCTGGACCTCCCACTGTGAGAACCACATTTGCATTGCTCTCTTCAGCTATACTTCTCTTTGATTTATTACAGTACAGTTTGTCTTCTGCTAGTCACACATTTTGAACGATAACAAAATATAGTTTGGTGGCAATGTGATGCATTAGTGGGAGATTATGGGTGTTGCTGTCATTGCAACATCTACAGCTTATCAGGAGCTGAATTATCCACAGATGTCTCCCACTGTGCAAAATAAATGGAACATGTGGTTAAAACTGGTAAAAACACTACACGACACAATTTCACGTACAAAAAAACTGTCCTTTGAGTCCTCTGATAACTCAATATCCAACTATTGTCCAAAAAGATCAAGATCTTGGATAAAAAATGTCAGAAAAACTGTTAAAAAAGGGGAATTTATTACATTTTTTGCCAACAACCACAACATTGACACATTTTCAAATTGGATAAAACAGCATTACTGACAGACAAGTGAAACAGACCAATACATCGATTACAATTTCGGATTTCTCTAGGTTTGAACGTCCTTTAAATCAATTTAAAATGTATAACACAGGCCTTGTAATTCTTAGACTTTTTAATGCATACCATTTTTAAGATGCCAAAAGCTGAATGTCTTGTGACTTTTTTTTGCTTAGGAAACAAAGAAAGGCATTGCTCATTGGCCTTGTTCTTGGCAACCAAGCTCTGAATTATCCACAGATGTCTCCTACTGTCCATAATAAATAGACCAGGGTAAAAAAACACTGAATGACACCATTTCAAATGCAGAAACATTCCCTCGAGTTCTCAGATTCTTGGTTAATTTGCTTAGCATGTTTCTCTGATAACTTAAGATCCAGACGTCTGATGGCTTAAATCCATCATCCGGTTAAAATATAGCCAAAAAAGATCAAGATATAAAAAGGTGTATCATCAAAAGAGCTCAGAAATGTGATTACACATTGCTGAGGAAACAAAGAAAGGCATTGCTCATTGGCCTTGTTCTTGGCAACCAGGCGGTGACATTTGAAACCTGGCTCTGAGAATGAATTGAAATGATGGAGCCGCGGTGGTTGGATATCACCAAGAGGTCATACAATACCCCCTGGAAAAAAAACCTCCAGGGATCAGAGCATTTCGGGCTTCGGGGTGTTTTAGCAACTATTTATCCAGACCTCCATTTGTCCTTCATGAACTAATACCACAGATCCTTTGTTTGTGCAGAGGACCTTCATCCTGAGAGTAGCCCGTCTCCTAGTCTACTCTACTGTACATAACATATATTAAAACGTGTACCATATGTCATCGCGGCTGGCTGGTTTCACATCTCATCTCCATACGAGCTCTTGGAAGCAGTTTACGCTTCATTAATCCTATGTTAATAATGATGAATGTTATGTAATCCAAATGAGTTTATCCATTCATGATGATTCATAGTGCTGCTGATAGCACTGGTTGGTGCAGCGCTCTTCATATTCTCATTAATAACTTGCACACTGAACAAGCTGCACGTCATGTCATGATATTTCTAGTGCAATGATTTGAAAGCTCAAGTAAACACCAGGAGAAGGAGGTCATTCTGAGAGTCACAACAGCAAACTGAGGTATAACAAGTCATCAGAAAGGGACAAGAAGCAACAAAGCTGGTGTATAAGCTTGGACAGACTCGTATTTCTTTACTTAGTCTTTGATCAGATAGCACAAGTTTGAATTAGCATTTGGAGACTATTTATTGTTTGATGCTTGGCTGATAGAGCAAAGATGGTTAATCAGACACATTTCCCATTACACCGATCTGTTTGATCTAATGTCTTTATCAAAATATTTATCACAGCTGTGTTAAACTCCCAAATGGAGCAAAGAGTGACATCAAGCTGGTCCTTTTCTCTCAGGCCTGGTGGTAAATATATAATTCTCTTTCATGGAAAACACTTTTGCCATCCGTCAATTTCTCCTCAGACTGAATGTTTAAAAGGCGTTCTGATTCTGCAGGAGCCTCATTAAGCTTAGGCCTCATTTAAGATGAAAGAAAAACACATATTTCACTGGATTTCATGCGGTCAGACTTGTTGAACCACAGAAAACAACAGAGCGGCTGCTTCAATTCGTCCCCTGATGTAAAACTAAGACACAAACTAAGTGCTCAGAGAGTGTCATTCGTCAGGGATAGTAAACACTGTCAGCTCGGCTTTACTGCCCGTGCATCAAAACACAAAGAAGCCCTCCCTGCAGACTGCGGCATTTGTTGCATGATATACGGGCGGTGGGCGAGCCAACGCAGGAAACAGGGCGTCCATTCATCGTCAACGGCAGATCTGTTGTATCTGTTTCTGTTTGACTTGAGGCAGTGGTGTGAGGTCACCAAGTGCATTTACTCAAGTACAGTAATTAAGTACACTTTTGAGAGACTTGTATTTCAAGTTTTTGCTACTTTGTACTTCTACTCCACTACAGTTCAGAGGTAAATGGTGTACTTTTCCTCCACTACATGTATTTATACCTTCAGTTACTTCACAGATGTGGATGAATGATGTGAAATATAACCAAGTGTTAAATCAGACTTTAGTTCCACCTGGAGTAAATCCACAAGCTACCCTGCAGTATACAAAGTCATTCAAACTAGCTGCACCTTTACCAGCTTTGAGAACACTTTCATGATCAATCATTATAAAACATATCATATATATTATTCTGAAATGGACCAATCTGCACAATGACTACTTTTACTGTCGCTACTTTCACTATATTTAGATGAGAATACTTTTCTACTTTTACTTGAGGAACATTTTGAATGCAGGACTTTTACTATAACAGAGTATTCCTACACTCTGGTACTTCTACTTTTACTCAAGTACAAGATCTGTGTACTTCTACTTTTACTTAAGTACAAGATCTGAGTACTTCTACTTTTACTCAAGTACAAGATGTGACTACTTCTACTTTTACTCAAGTACAAGATGTGACTACTTCTACTTTTACTCAAGTACACAATCTGTGTACTTCTACTTTTACTTAAGTACAGGATCCGAGTACTTCTCCCACCTCTGACTACGGGGCACATTCTGCAAATTCCTCTGAACTTGGGACTGGTGTATCCTTTTGACAACCCGTTAAATGTGAGACAGATGCATCGTACAACACTGGGCTCAATGGAGATGCCCTCAGGCTCTAAAT